TGACTATATAGTGAGGTACCTAAATACATAGCAAAATTTATTTATTTATTTATTTATTATTATTATTATTGATTGTTTGACCTTGTATAATGCACAATAACCTTTAGGTCAAAAAATTGCTATATCATTCTTGTGAATTTTAGAATCATTATTCTAATCTATGCAACTTGACAATGTTTGACACCTAATTGTTCTCTCTCATGCCTTTATCACCTACACTTCAACATAGATTTCTTCATTTTCAATGTCATCTTCTACTCTATCTTTATTTGATTCAACAACCAAGGCCAAAATCTCCAAGTTAAAAAATTCATCAAATACTATAACATTCTTATTAACTTTAGTAAACTTATTTTCCATCATTAGACCATCATCTTCTTACTTTGGGAGCTCATTGAGCGAAGAAGCGATATCCATGCAAACATAATGTAAATCATTGTTGTCATACACATAAATATTGATGTTATTAATTACAAATATATGAAGGAGTGATTATTCTTATGTGCCTCCAATAATTTGTAATTTTTTTCTAGTTTACCTTCCTTTATGTCTCTCTGACAAATATAACTAATTTATATAAATCAATCTTTTGCAGATGTATTGAGTCTTGATTGTTTGGAAGTTTATCAAATTTGGTAACAATGTTCTAAAGCAATGGTTTCTTACATTGTACTTAAAATTAACAATGATTCTAGCATCCCATGGTTAGAGATAAGCAATAGTATTAGATGGCAAAAAAAATACAATTGGACATATGAAAAATTTAACACCATGTTCTTTTCAAAGTAGACATTAGTATTATGACAAAACAAAAGAATATTTTTTCTTCGATTTTGTATCTTTTGATTAAATAATGCAAGTAAACTAAGAAAAATTATTGGATCCATTGATAAATTTGTATTGTAATGATACTTCACTAGGAATTGTTAAACATTCTATTTTTGAAAAAAACATGCATTATTTTACTTTCTTTTAAGAATAGAATAATTTTTTCTATTAATCTCTAATTGTACCAAGTAATGAAGTAATGCATTTTATTTATTTATTTTTGTCCATATATTCCACCAAAAGTTGCTAAAGTTAATTTAGAAGTATGTTGTAATATAAGAAAATTTAATTAATTTAGAAGATATCACATAGTATTTAAGCTTATAGGACTTGATGCAACTTTTTTGGCTAAACCTCTAATGAAGCACTTTTCACCTTACCATACAAGACATAATTTTTTAGAGTATGTCTCTTTTTGAATCTTACATGCCATCAAGCTAAAACCTTACATATGTCAATTAATTCCTAGTCCTTGACTAAACTTTCATACTTTTAGTTCAAGAGCAACATCACCAAAGTTATGAAGGCCTCTTCTAAATGAATCCACTTGCTAATTTACATACATTTTTTTTTTAAAATCTTTTTGCATGTTATTAGACAATTTCAATCATGTTACTTTACATAAAATTATCTTTAATACAATTGACTTGTAGTATCAAAACTTATTAGCCAATTTTTCTAATGTTGCTTTTGGATTGTTTATCTTTTAATGGCACATGTCTAAATTTTTTTTGCATTGTTAATTGGACATATTTAGGTAGCATAATTTTAAAGTTTTACTATGGTTTGAATAAAGACTTGTTTCAATGTAAAAATTGAGAATATAAAATATATTTTTTAAATCCAAAAATCATTGTCAAAAGCAAGTGTAGTACATTATCAAGGTCCAAGAGATATACCAAAGAAGATATTATGAATGAAGATGTAAGGCATTGTGTGTGAAGACATAAGACATAATTCTAAAAACCAATATGTAATGTAGGTAATGTATTGACTTTATTAGATGTTTTAATTGGTTAGTCTTATATATATTTATATAATTAGAAAACTTAGGTATGAGACAAAGAGAAAAATAAACCTTTTCATAATTCAAAATCAAAGAAATTATTAATCAACAAAAAGCCTTGTACAACTTATAAAAAGACCTCTAATTTATTATCTATAAATAAAATTTATGTGCCCAAAAATACAAATTTCTACTAATATATAATAAGAATAAAAATTTGATATATAGAAAATTATTCTTATCAACATTAATTATACAATGTATTGTCAACTATACTATATAATCAATAGTTTCTTTGATATCAAGAAATTGACTATAACAAGGGCTGATTGTCATAATATCCTATACATTTTAGGAAGCTAAGGATGTTTGCAATATTTGCAAGCTTCTTATCTTTATAATATAAATGTGATTTATCTATTATACTTTATATAGTTTGTATTTGATTTAATTAAAAAATATTTTCATTCAATTTTTTTTCTCTTAAATATGTAATAATTTGATTGGTTTATTTTTCAAAAATCATGTAATTATTATAATTATTGCAATTCACATTTTCTTTACATTTATTTTTAAGCTAATAAATATATTCTTCATATTTCTTATTTCTTATTTTTTTTAATATAATTATATTTGAGAATTTTTTTTATAAATTTATAAAATTTATTGATTTTTATTTTTTATTATTTTTATTATTTTACAAATAAAGATTTAAACATTTTTACATCAACATATATTCTAATGAATTTAAATTTTTATATATGTAATATTTTTTTTACTTTTTGATTCTAACTCAATACAAATAAAATCTAATAACATGACATGTTTATTACAACATGATATCTTTAACTACACAATATAAGATTATTTTCTAGTTTATATTTCTATGTGTCTTAAAGAATACATACTTGTAAGACAACAACCACAAATATACACAATATTAGATAAATTTTTTTATTCTTATCTTCATTCCAAACAACATTCAACATTCTTTGCCATTCCAGCAATGTGGCACTTGTTATGCTCTATTACTTTGTTTTTTTTATAATATATATTGTAATAAAGTTTAATACACAATTTAATATTCTTTAAATAAATTCTTATAATCATAAAATATAAGTCATTTTCCAATATTATATTCTAAGATTTTGAATTTATTCTTTGATTGCAATATTACCAAAATCTAATAAATTCTCAATTTTGAAAAATTTGTTTAAAAATTATATTTAACTATATATATATATATATATATATTCTATAGATGTTAACTTTAGATGGTTACACATATTAAAATAAATAATCGTAAAAAACAGAAGTTTAAATCTCCACTATTATTTGCAAATGACAATTTATATTGTTTTTTCTTGGTGCAAAATTTATAATAACAATAAATAAATTCAAATATTTTTAAACTATAAAATAAATATATCTAAATCCAAGGTTTTTTACTATTAATATTATATTATATTATAATTATATTATATCTTATTATAATATAATATATCAATGTTGCACTTGATATGCTCTATTATTTAAGTAATGTTTTTTTTGTAAAAGGTATCTAAATAAATCTAATTATTTGCATTAGTTATCATGTTTTTTTGTAGCACCAAACCAAAAAATCCAAATTAATTTGATTGAATTATTAGGAATTTTAGCAATTCTAAGCACAAAAATATTTTCGTCTTTATATATATATAGTTGATGAATGTTTTTACAAGATAATCTTGTTTTTGCAGTAAAGTAAATTATTTATAATTGTTTTTTTTGCCTCTTACCTTCTTAATTGTAGTCTTCTTATTGTTGTTAATGAAATATCTTTACTTTTAGTCCTATATTTTTATTGACTTGTTTCTTTATGCAATAATCATAAAGTCACAAATTCTAAGGTCAATTTTCTGACTTGTTTCAATGGCAACAACATAATACTTGTACTAAGAGAGTAGATATTGCCAGAATATTTTTCTTTTTTTTAATGTGGATTAGAAATTTGATTCTTTCTTTTTATTTAAACAATAATATTTTTTTATACATAAACAGAAAATATTGTTAACTTTACAGTTTTGATAAAAATTGAAAACTTTAAATGTCTAAATTGATTATTATGTTGTAATTTTTTACCTCCAATACTTCAATAGGCTGTGATGTGTTTTTATAGCACGTCTTTAATAATGCATGTAAAATAAACAATACAAATGCTAAAAAATACATATAATTCAAATATATTTTGTTAAACACATGTAAGTAGAGAAAAAAATCAATTGTGTTTAACAAAATTATAAATGAACTTCAAATTTTAATTTCAAAATATGGTTTCAAAATATTCCAATACTTTAAAAATATTTTAACCACAATTTTCTTTTAAACTTCATCAAAATTTGAAAATAAATAAATAAATAAATAAGATTATTTGTCAAAACTGTGTGTGTGCGTATGATATGTCATAAAGTCAATATCTTTGTGCTAGCCTTCCATGAGGCAAGGTTAGATGTTTCACAGCTGAACACAGTAAGTCTTTTTTTTTTTTTTTTTTTTTTTTTTTGTATATTCGACAATAAATGGGTTGTATAGAGCACAAATAAGACAAGTAGTGAAAAACACCATGCCATAATCAACAGATGAGACGCATGGATGCTAATTTGCTAATGCATAACTCTGAAGTCCCTCTTTTGAACATCAGTGGAGATATTGGGGTCACATTTGATCGACTGAGGAAAGACCTTGAAGTGTTGTGGTCACAGGTTTTCACTTTGTATAAGAAGAATCATTCATGGTGAGCTCCCACAAGTTTTCCCAGTTTTGTTTGCTGGTGTTGAGTTTCCAAGCAGAACTGTCTGGATTACTAGCATTTTCGGAAGCACCTGTTTTGTAGTGACTTTTCGTTTCCGCAGATGGGAAAGATGAATCGGACCAATTGTAAAGCTTATGCTTCTGTTGGAAGTGCTTGGTTTGCCAATCTGTATCCAACGTTCTGTGGGTACCACAAGATATCATTCGGAAACATCACTGAATTCTGAGAGTTGCAACATAAACTTTATGTTCCTGAAGATGCAACCGCGAGAGAGCAGTCATTCAACGCTGTAGAATCCCAACAAACGCTTACAAGATACAGGGGCATAGTTGAGCTTCTAGTGACACTGCAAGGACTAGGTATATCATACATGGGTACCTGCAAATATTCTTTTAGATCACAAGGGATATGCTCCACCGTTGGTCGATTAATACATAGCTGATGCTGTTGCCACTTATAATCAATCACTTCTTTTGCCTCTTGGATAAAGAGGTACTACACATAACGAGTCTTTCAGATACGTCTCCACTCCTTTACCTAACATGGCTTCAAATGAGTTTACAATTGGCAATCGCCAACCTGCACGATGTAAGGATTGTGAAACGCGACCTTTGAAGGTTCCTACAAGCGTGTACATGAGAGGTCGAAATCATCAGGCGCATGAGTCAGAAGCCATGAACTGAGAGCTCTTTTCGACTCTACGCTGTTCATGGACGCCAACTCATACATACTACACAAATTAAGGACCAAGGTCTCATTTAAAGAGGACTGAGGACTAGACTGCAGTGAGTCCTCCAGAACCGATGTTGCTCCAAGAAGTTCCCGCTGGTACATCAAACAAAGCGCCTGCCAAACACAATTGCGAGTATCCAGCATCATAAACTGAGGCGTCAACAAAGGATGAATCAGTGTTGAAGAGCAGAATCAGAGGTCCAATCTAATGAACCCATTACCAACAGTGAATAACAGATTGAAGTCCTGAGCAAAACTCTGTTGATCCTTGTACAGAACTGCACAGCAAATTAGGATGTGCTTTTACTCCTGGCAGATGGAAAGTTGTATATAAATATGATACCTTGTTGTTAACAGAGACCGTATCATATGGACTTCTGCTCAAGACGGTGGCGAATTCATTGAAGGCCTTAGAATACTGCTTCTCAGCAAAGTGAAGAAGACCTCGATTTCGTCCTGCCAAGTTCAAGAGTTCCTCGTCCACTGAATCTGAGATAAGTGCATCGACCTTAGAGAATGACTGCTGAGCTCCTCCTAGGTCGCCAAGCTGAAGCAGAACATAACCAACCCTTGATAGCAGATCTGTATCTGTAGGAGAACTGCAGAATAAATGGTGTCATTTGCTGCTTGTATGTCTTCGACGAAGAGTCACCTCAACATATCTCGAAAAATAATGTGACAACTTCGAGTAAACGATTCAACTCACCTGGCTAGTAACTGATTCAACCACTGCAACGCCACAACATGCTGCTTTTGAAATAGATGATGGCCCACAAGAGCACAAACAACAGCCTCTTTCCGCTTCATCCAGGTAAGGAGAAACTTTCCTGTAACAGTAATATCACTAGCTACGAACTCTCCAAAGTCTTCCTCTTCTCCACTTGTGCCCACCTCCTCTGTAGAAGCATGTTCTCCAGGTTCCGCTCGTTCAACTGGAGTACCCTCATCGCCACCAGGCATGTCACCATGCTGATTGGTTAGGGTATCAGTTGCAGCATGCACCAATGGCAGTGAAGACTTTCGACTACCAGAATCGATTGATTGTAGTGATTCAACCTGGACACACAACCAGGACTTATGCATTATGAGCATGAAAGAATGACTAAACTGGGTCAAGCTGAGGAAGTGATCATTGTCGGCAGAAGAATGCGAAAATACTTGACGATTAAGGTCATGAATTCCAGCTGGCAAGAAGAAGAAGAAGAAGAAGAAGAAGAATGTAAACCATTAAGAGGCATGAGATAATCAACTTATTAAGACCAACTCGTAATTCAGTGACTTACGGTAGTAAGGCAGGTACAGTAAAAAGGCTTACTCGTGAGTTACAAAAATCTAGAAGAGCATATAGTCGTTCAATGGTCGTAGCAGTTTGCCCATTTCGATGGGGTAAGTCGGCATGCATCCATCTCAATGCAAACGGCACCATTGAGCCTGCGAAGGAGAGAATTGAGAAGCCAACAACAAGGCAAGCACATAATAAATCACTTCTATGGCTGAGGTAGTTTGAAGAAAGACGGCTCCGAACATAAATAGCAATGCAAGACCCACAGAAAACCAAAACAAATCAAAGCAAAAAGCTAACATACCTGATTTGCCAGGGTACACGGAAGGATACTCCTCGTAGCAATACTGCGTAGCATCAAGGTCACCCACAGCTGCCAACTCAGACGCAGCTGCGCCATAATTCCGCAGCTTTATTAATGCTAAGAGATGATAAGTTGCGTAGTTAAGCTCATCCACTGGAGTGGTTAGTACGCCCTGCTTCTTTGCACCCTTCACCTTGTCCACCAACGCTCTCCAGGCCCCTTGTCTCTGTAGCACAAACCAAAATGATTTAGGAAGCATTGTTCCAATATATCATTCCCTCAGAACTAATACGATCGCCCTTCATGAAATCGTCCCTCTGGACCTGCCCGATGTTGAATTAGATGGCAAAATCACTTAAAATCGTAAACGAGTAATCGAAGACTGTACCGCGAGCTTGCGTAAGCTGGAAACATCAGGAGTGCCTTGAAACGAGCGGCTGCCAAACGAGAGAGAGGTAGCGTTCAGCTTGGGTCTAGAAGAAGATACAGCCTCCGGAGATTTCGAGAAAGTTTGGGTTGTGGACGCTGCAGAACCAGTTGGGAGCTTCGCCGGAGATGGTCCTGAGACAGCATCTTCTTCATCCTCGTCACTAAAAGAACGGTGACTCATAAGAGGATGCCTGACTGTTTCTGCAGGGCCACTATCCGCCTCTGCTTTGGACAACCCCCACGGCTGGCCAATGCTCGATGTAAAGCTGGTCTTTGGACTAGCCGGGGCGGATGATGATGCCGATCGCGAAGCAGAAGAAGGCGAAATAGGAACAGATTTAAAAGACGGTGAAGAAGTGTCTCGTATGAGAGAGGAGATCGATGTAGCTACTTGCGGACTCTGCGATACATTTGGGGCTGACGGATTGAAAGCAGAAGCGCCAAAATTGTCCTCTGACATAGCAGATGATGGAGAATGCTCATCCATGTTGGGATGATTAAGGGATCAATGCAACTTAATGGATCCTCCTACACTCAATAGCATCGTCCCGAGCCTTCAACTGCCTCTTCTGATAATCCTCTCAGGATTAAGTGACAGCAACAACAAGGGAGTGATAATAGTCCGCAATTTTCTCATTCAAGACGAGAGACACGAAACCACAGCTTCGAAAGGCCTAATCCAAAATTGGAGGTCTTGGCACCCTGCTGGTTTACACACAAAAAAGTCAATTAAGAAGGTGATGCCTGAAGACGAAAACCAATTCGGAACACACTTTGACAAACGCAAAAGTAAAGAGAAATTGTAACCACTGCGGGCTTTGATAGCACAGAAACCTCAGAAACAAATTTCAAAGTACCAGTATCTGACAAGGTAGAGAATACAGAAACCAACAACGAGGTCAAAAAATACCTATTGCTGAACACACAAATTTCAAACAATATAAGCCCAATTGTAGATCCACACAATAAAACTTCCACAACTACATAGATCCTTAGATCAGGATTCAACTGGGAAATTCAGGAGATGATGCAATGTACTCAAATTCGATCATTCCAACAACATGGAGAAACAAACCCCACGGCCCATCCGTGTCAAAATTAGGGTTAGGACTACTCACTTCAACAGGAATTTAGATCCAGCGAACCAGTGACACTTCAACCACAAAAGTGGATCCACATCAACGATCCCTCACATGATCAAGAGCCTCAACAGTCCCACAACTCCACACTCCAACGCAGAGTTAATCCCCTCCGAGCTTCTTCCTCCACGACAACCATCAAATTCTCCAACAACTAACTTACTTGGACCTTCACGTGTGACCCAACTGCAGAAACACTGCTACTGACATAGCAAATCCATAAATTGCAAAAATAAATAAATAGTCAACATATGGAAAACACAAACTGCTAGCAATCAGGTTCGATGTTTTGTGAGAATTCCGAAAAATTACTTCGAAGCTGTGTAAAGACGAAGCTACGAGATGAGCGGAAATAGGGCTCTGGCGTTCCCAATATTTGATTTGTTCCCATTGTTCGCGTTTGTGTTCCCATGTCCTCAAACTACTCTTCTGCAAACAGTCTCGGTTTCTTCTTTTGTGGGTACCTTCGAAAGCAACCTCTTCACATTGGATTTGTGCTCGAGATCCAGCAATCCTAGCAATGAGTCTTCTCCTCACAGGCCTGAAAGATCTAAGTTCATCGACTCTGTGGGACAACGCTGATTTCCCCTCTGCACTTTGCTGATTTTCATAAACTTGGGCAGCAATTATGATAACATTCCATCTCTTTCTGTTGAACCAGGTCTTTTCTGGTGTCTTTCTGGAACACAGGATGTTGTGTGGGGATGTGGATTTAGGATTAGTGTAGAAGGCTATTGCTTTGAGACTGGAGGGAACGAATAATTCAATTAACATAGGGAACAATACGTGATAAAGTTGCAGCGCATGTGACTGCAAGAATGATGAATGGAATAGGGGAGCTATGAATGAAACCCTAACTAGGGCAATTGCTAACACCCCCTTGCTTGTAGTAATGGGTTTCAAAAATTGGAGCATTCACAGAGGTGGAACAAGGAGTAGAAGTGTCAGAGTTCATACTGGTGAGAGTACTACATCAAATGCCAATAGCAAGAGAAGATTTAAGTAACAAAGTTAATGGGGTTTTGTATCTATCCAACAAGTATAACTATTATTGTTGGCACTAAGGACAATACTAAGAAATGCTTTGTACATATTGGTCGTGTTTATACAATTTGTAGAACGTCAAATTCTCAAGAATAGTGAACCAATGCAATTGCAAGCATTATTTGTAGAAAGTAGACAACATTTGTAGTAGTTGGGTTATCTTATAAATCTTTTAAGTCTACAATACTCTATTGTTACTATGTTATTCATATTGGGAGGCATGTTGGAATTTAAAAGTCTTAGGAAGTTGTCAAATATAAGAACTCAAACATAATAAATAAACAAGTGAAATATTTTTCAAAGAAAGATGATAAAAAAGAAATATGTATATTTAAATAGAAATTGGGATAGCTATTGCTAAAGATTAAGAAACTAAAAATTCTTGAAGCTAGATTAAAAGCCAGAAAGGATTTGATAAGAATAAAAAAAAGGCCTAATTCTTGCTTTTATATATATTATGTAACTAGGAGCTATATGATGACATTCTGTCCAGGACATACACTAGAAAGTTGCAGAAGATTCTAGAAGGTTCTAGAGAAGCTTTATAGTTTGTAGAAGCTACTTGACAAGTTTTCAAGCTCGTGGAAGCTGCTTGAGAAGCTTCATAGCTTGTAGTATATATAGGAGCCAAGACTGAGGGGATCCTCAGTCTCGACAACACATCTTTTGGAGCTCTAGCTCACCTTTCTAGTATTGTTCTTGTACTCATCTGATTAATCTAGTTCTTGCCAATTCTTCTTGAGCTTCTTGTTTAGATTTCCAGTCAATATTTTAAATTCGTGACAGTTTGTCGAGACTACACTCATCTTTTATATCAGAGCTAGTTCCTTCTTGTTAGAGTGTGGATTATCACTCTGTTTGAAGGTGCCGGCATTTTAGAGATTGCGGATTATCCTCTTCTAAATTGATATTTTTTCTATTATAATATTGGAGTCTTATCTTTCTTGGAGAGAGTAGATTATCCTTCTTCTTGAAGGTTTTAAGACGTTTTAGAAGTTACAAAGTACCCTCCTCTAAACCAATACTGTCTTCTTGTAGAATCATTTCTTTCCTTCTCTTAGAATGGTCAGAGGTCAAGATATTAATATGACTAAAAGTTCGGAGTCCAAGTCGGATGCCATTATGAATACTCTTCCTATGTTATCATAGAGAATTGTAGAGATTGAAGGAATCATTGCAAGACTTCATAATGATGGAGCATCAAAGATGGCACAATTAAGGATTCACTAACTTCAAGCTTCAGTACCAAGAAAAGTAGCTTTGCCTCTAGTTCAACAAGGACCATTGGTCTTACAACAAAAAGAGCCCCGAATTAGCCTTCCAAACAAGTTCGATAGTACGCGTTCTAAGTTTTGAGGTTTTGACAATCAAATTAGATTGATAATAGCTTTATAGCCTGAATGCTATCCGATGGAGGAGTCACGTGTTGGACTAGTTGGAACTTTGCTCACGGGGCAAGCTCTATCATAGTTTGCTCCTTTATTTGAAAAAAGATCTTCAATTTTGAATAACTTTGAAACTTTTTTGGAGGCGTTAGCGGAAGCAGTTAGCAAATATGACAAGGCTTAATGAGCTACAACAAAGATGTGATTGCTATGACAAGGGGCATGCTCCACGTTAGTCTATGCATCAGATTTTAGACAATTAGCATGCGACATCAACTGTGATGAGGAAGCATTGATGAGTAAATTTTATTGGGACTTGAGGGATGACGTGAAGGATTTTTTATTATCTCTTTTCAATCCATGAACGCTCAACGAAGCCATTAGCTAAGCTGTGAAGTGTGATAACCGCTTGTTTCAACGTCACCAAGACCAATGTTTAAGACAACATATAGCTCACCACGCTCCAACTATGTCAACAAGTAGCCTGAATTCACATTCAAAGGTGGAAGACATGTAAATTGACGTGGTACGTGTCAAATCCCTAACTCTAGAAGAAAAAAAGTGACATATAGAAGAAGGACTATGCTTATATTGTGGTGAAGAAGGCCACAGAGCTGGAAACTGTGCCAAGAAGCAAAATCGACGCATTGTTAGGACCAAAGGCACATTTGTTCAGGAAAACAAAGATGTCCAGCCACAATAGGGACCGTGCAACTGGACAATTTAATACCACAACAACAATCAAGTCCCTCTCTTTCCGCTCAGCCTACCCATTGCTTTACTATTTCTCTATCTTTTGGCCCTCAAAAACTAAAAACCTTAGCATTATTAGATTCAAGAGCATCTGCTTACTTTTTAGATGAAGAATTTACTAAGCGTCACGAGATTCTTTTAGTATAAAAATCTAAACTTGTTCACATAGAAGAAATAGATGGATGACCTTTATTGTCTGGTAGTATCACCCATGAATCAGAACCTATAGAGGTGACGTTTAAAGACCATAGTAGTTATATTATTTTCAATATTATTAAAACCCTGTCAAACCTTGTTATTCTTAGTCTTTTTTGGTTATAAATGCATAATCCATCTATAGATTGGAGGTTACAAAGGATGACATTTCCTATAAAACATTCCGAGAGTAAGCATGTTAGAAGATCCCAAATCAAAAAACCCTTATTTATGGGAGCAAGAGCATTTGTAACATCATGCAAGGAAGGCACACCGTTTATCATTTATGCAACTGCAACTAGCGGAGAGAAGATTTTGACAACAAATATACCGGAGTAATATAAGGATTTTGAAGACGTGTTTCAAAAAAAAAATGCCAACGTACTACCGGAGCATCGACTATACAATTGTGCCATAGACTTGCAAGAAGGAGCACAACCACCTATTGGCCCAATCTACAATTTGTTGCAGACGGAGTTAGGAGAGTTGCAGAAGTACATTGACAAGAATCTAGCTAAGAACTTCATTCGTCATTCGAAGTCGCCAGTTGGGGCACCAATCTTATTTGTGAAGAAGAAAGATGGCTTGCTACGGATGTGCATGGATTATCAAGGTCTCAATAATGTGACAAAGAAGAATCCTTATCCATTACCCTTGATATCAGGTCTTCTAGAGTAACTTGGGCATGCAAGGATCTTTATAAAGATTGATCTAACGAGAGCTTACAACCTCGTGTGAATCAAAGAAGAAGATGAATAGAAGACAGCTTTTTGTACAAGGTATGGCCATTTTGAATATAATATCATGCCTTTCCCTCTTACCAATGCTCCAGTAGTCTTTCAAAACATGATGAATGACATCTTTCTGGAGCACCTTGATAATTTTGTTGTCATCTATTTAGATGATATTTTGATATTTTCCAAGAATGTAAAAGAGGATGAAAAATACATTCGTCTGGTCCTTGAAAAACTCCTCGAGCGAGGACTTTATACCAAGTTGGAGAAGTGCTTGTTTAACCAAACTGAGATGGAATTTTTGGAATTCATTACAACTAGAGAAGGCTTGAAGATGGACCCTAAGAAGGTGGAAGCAATCGTATCATGGAAAGTTCCAAAGACGACTAGAGATGTACAATGCTTTCTTAGCTTTGCTAACTTCTATCAGATCTTCATCAAGATTTATTCTCAAGTTGCTATTCCGCTTACTCGGTTGACATGTAAAGACAAGCTCGAATAGAGACCTCTAGTAGAAAAAATATTTCAAGATCTTAAGATGGCATTTACTATGGCTCCAATCTTGGTACATCCGGACTTTGTAAAGGCCTTCTATTTGGAGACTGATGCTTCAGATATTGCTATGGAAGTTATACTTTCGTAGTTAGGTACAGACGAGAAGCTTCATCCAGTTGCGTTCTACTCTTGGAAGTTTTCTACTGCCGAGATTAACTATGAGATCCACGATAAAGAACTTCTTCTGATACTGGATTCTTTTTAAGAGTGGCATCACTTTCTCAAAGAAGCTACGCATCCGGTGACCGTATACACGGATCATAAGAATTTGAAGTACTTCATGTCAGCTCAGGTTCTAAATCATCGTCAAGCTCAATGGAATATGTTGCTATCCAAGTTTGACTTTGTTATTACTTATTGGCTTAGAAAGCCACAAAGACTATCTAATGCATTATCAAGGAGATCGTATCTAGTGCCAAAGGCTAGAGAAGCAGCGTTTGATTAATAGTGTACAACATTATTGAAGTCGAAATAATTCAGGCTTTGCTATGCTATAAGGCCAATTGATGGTGACTTCCTCAACTATGTATGTACCGCAACTATTGGAGATTCTATAGCCCTCGATATCATGCAACGTGTCAATAATGACAAGTTCAAGGTGGAAGGAGATCTTTTATACTTTGAGTAGTGGTTGTATATTCCAAAGGGACTAGCTGTCACGGACATACA